CTGCAAATACAACTTCAGAAGGTCAATGAGAAAAAACTACTATAACATGATGTTTTTTTGAAGAATAGGTCTGATTTAAATGATTTGTACCAGACCAAAGTTATTCCACACATATTCTAATTCTAATTCTAATTTTTCTCTAACTTTCAGAGAGCAGACTGGAGTTTTGCCGTGACCATACGTAGGGACAGTAGACTTATTTTGACTCCAAGAGCTCTGTGTACAATATCTCTGTTCTGGGAAAAGGACTATTTTTGCTCAAATAAATTGGAAAACAGTGTCTTTAACAGCTGACCAATGCCTCAGTGTGCCAGCAGGTGGAGTTGTTGCGCCCCCTGCTGCTGTTTAGGAAACAAAGCCTTTGAAACTTTCACTGTAGATGAGGAATTTTGGAGCATAAAAAACAAACAAAACAAAAAAAACCCAAAAAACTGTGGAAAAAAATGCAAGACAGATAGTTTAGACTGTGTAACTTTTCTGGTGGAGGGTTCATCAAATACTTTTCTTCATGGAGATGTTATTGCTTTGTCTGAAATGTTTCACAGTATGGCATTAAACCAGGAGTGTCAAACTCATTTTGGTCCGAGAGCCGTATCCAACCTATTTTGATCCCAAAGGGGCAGGAAAAAAACATATACCCCATATAAACCCCCAAAATAGTAATAAGTTCAAATATTTGTGCAGAGAAATGCAAAGAGATGTGCGGATGGCGGCTACAGCCGTGGACTCCGCGGCTAAACCAGGCAGATGACATGACGAAAAATAATATTTAAATTAAATTCGGGCGGGTGGCGGTTTCACTACTCAAATAAAAAACTCTGAAGGAGACCGAGCGGATGGCGGGCGGGTGTGGGTTTGAAAACTGGTCAAAAACTGTGGTTGCAAATGGATAGAGGGCGTAGTAGCCCAACCGCGCATCTCTAAAATCTATCACAGAAATCTTTTTTAATTGATGAACTCTTTCTTTTACAAAATATTATAATATTATGAACAACCTGAAACTTTAAGAACAACACAATGTTTTAACATGAACTTGTTTGTAAACAGGAATAAGTCCATTTTTGTTGTAAAATCCTGCACTCTGCTCCACTTTTCTCTTGTTGGACATTTTTCTGATGAGGGTGTCACGGTCAACAGTCAAAACGATCGTCCTTTAAGAGCGTTTGGAAAGAGACAAGTCTTCATTTGTGCTGCTCTGGTGGGAGGGGCCACGTACAGAGACACTGGAGACACTGCTGTGATAAACACCACAGAAAATTACCAAGATTTTAATAGAAAATATAATTAAAATATTTTAGTAGAAAATCAGCCGAGGGCCAGATTAAAGGTCTCGGAGGGCCGTATGTTTGACACTCCTGCATTAAACCATTCTGTCTTTATGGGTCACCAGATTTGACCTTTACAGGACAGATCTGTGGAGAGGCGACCCCACTCACAGTCAGAATGCCTGTTTTCTTAGATATTTTTGAGATATTAAACCACTTGTAATTGAATAAATGTAAAGTAGAGCTGTTTAATGTCGCACTGTGGAACATTCCAGACAGAGCGATGACATCTCCATAGGAAACAAGCACGGGCCATCTACCAGAAATTTAACAATGCACCTTTATATATATCATATTGAGGAACATTCAAGAAAAGAAAGAAGATCTCCATGGAGACAAGCAGGTAGTGTGCACCCACCAGAAAAGTGACACAGTGCACCTTAGCTTGGACATCATTTAATCCACATTTTTGCTCTTGTTTGGGTAATTTATTAGTGTAAACTCCTGTGGCAGTATTTGAGACCTGGTTTAGTCCTGAGGTAGGCCTGATAGTCCTGCTCTAGACCTGGTTTAGACCTGTTCTAGACCTGGTTTAGACCTGTTCTAGAACTGGTTTAGACCTGTTCTAGAACTGGTTTAGACCTGGTTTAGACTTGGTTTAGACCTGGTTTAGACCTGGTTTAGACTTGGTTTAGACCTAGTTTAGACCTGGTTTAGACCTGGTTTAGACCTAGTTTAGACCTGGTTTAGACCTAGTTTAGACCTGGTTTAGACCTGGTTTAGACCTGGTTTAGACCTAGTTTAGACCTGGTTTAGACCTGGTTTAGACCTGGTGCTGCTCTGAAAGCCCGCTGCTCCTTTAAACACTCGGCTGTCTCCTCCTCACCACTTCCTGGGGGTTGCCAAGTCTGCTTGTTTATAGCGACTTTGGGCTTATTACCTTTTGAAAGTCTCTCCCGAGAGGCACTTCTCACTTTTAAAAAATATGTCCAAAGCCTTTTTCAGTTCTGCTTTCCATAAATAGACCAAATAATGGCTGAATTACAAGCTGTTGATGTTTTAAAGCAGTTATTTATGTAAAGAAGTGGAACATCAATGGAGAAAATGTGATTAGTTAAGCCTGGTTTAAACATATAATTTACTACAAATGATTATCTATTCATGCTTACGTCACAAAACAAGGAGATCTTTGTGACTAATTTGGGCTCTATTGGCCATATGAACTCTAATAATCTCTGAAGACAAAAACTGAGAAAATGACCCAGTTTTCTTCATCTAGATGTCATTGTATTGTGTGTTTCTTTTTTTCCTTTAATAAATTGTCTATTAATTTGTGGATTATAATTGGTTTAACTTGATAAAAAATATTTAAAAAGTCGTCATTATAGTGTCCTGTTATGTTCAGTAGATCAACAGTTCCAACCTGCTGCCTGTGAGTGACACTGAAGCTGCGATTTGAGTCCCGTCCTTCATGGAAAACTTTGGCAGATTGTGAAGACGCTGCTGCTGAATCCATGGTTTTATCACATGCTCAGTGTCGGGAAACTGCACCAGAAGTTGTCATCTGCTTGTTTCCAAATGTAAGTGAGGTAAGCGAGAACAGAGCCTATTTGACACAAGTTTTTGTCTATTTTTGTGACTTCATTTCAGCACCAGAGAGGCTATACTTTTTTGACTCTTTATTATGACACTGTAATGTGTCCAAGTAATTTCCTTGTGGGTAAATACAGTTTATCTTAAAGGTGCATTGTGTAACTTTATTAAATTTAATATCATACTGTGGAACATACCAGGCATATCCATAGAAGGAAGCACACCCCCACAAAGTTACATAGTGCACCAATCCAGACTCAAAACGGTTCTGTTTAGCTGCAGATGACTGAAAGGTTTTCATTCTGCACTCTTCTCTCATTTAATTTCTCTGTTTTAAATTTTATGATGATTATTTATGTTTTTGTTTGTTTGTATTGTGATTTTAATTTAATATGTTTCTTTTCTTTCTCCAAATGATTTCTCTTGTGGATCAATAAAGTCTGTCTAAGTCTAAGTCTTATTCTGTAAAGCACTTTGAATTACTTGGTGTACAAATTGTGCTATACTAAAAAATTTGCATTGTCTTACCAACTTGACGTCTATTTTTCTCTTTGTTTGCAATAGAGAAGAAGACTAATTCAAACTGTTTCAGTGTCTCATGTCTCTATTCACTGTTTCATGTTATGACTGATGTGTCATTTTATTCTGTTTGTGCTGTTTTCTGCTGCCTCTTGGCCAGATCGTCATTGCAATTGACTTACCTGGTAAAATACTGAATAAAAAAAAACAAAAAACTACTGCTTCATGACATCACAAGGTGGAGCAGAGCATTTTGAGCTGTGGAGATGTAGACAGACTAATAATAAAGAGTTACTCAAACATGTGTGAATGAAACAAAACACAACTTCAGGTGTGTTTTTGAGGAGGGAACAACATTAGAACATGATTTAAATCTCACTGGAACATCTTTGACAACACCTGGAAAGGAAAAAAACTCTTTTTATTCTCCAAAATTATTAAAAATATTACAAGCTTTACCCATCTTTTGGATAGGGTGATCAGATGTCCCTATTTCCCTGGGACAGTCCCAGTTTTGAGTCTGTGTCCCCTGTCCCAGCAGATTTATACAAAACCAATGATTTGTCCCAGTTTTATACAAGAAATGTCCCTGGTGTCCCTATGTTTGACCAATTTGATTTAAACAAGATCTAAACCAGGACTATCACAATTTTTGACTAATCTGATCCTTGTCAACAGTAAAGAGGAGCATAAATTGTTATTTGTTTAGTCAAAATACAAAAAAACTCCAAAACAAACCAAAAACAAAACATGTTTGCGGAAGACCATAAAGCAAAAAAATAAAATAAAACAAATAAATAAAAATAAAAAACTATATAACGACACATGTCCCTTGGATTATGACTGGCACGCTTACATGCTCTTTTCACTGTTTTATTTATACCAACATCCTAACCCAGATGTGTCCCAGTTTAGAATTTTGAAAATCTACTCTAGACCCTCCTTTAGAGCAATGGGGAAGGCAGAAGGCCTTTTTTTATTTTTTTTTCCAAACTACCAACACTCATCGGTACTTCCTGCCTACTTTATCTTTCCTCCAATCACATATTATATTCTGTAAACTGTCCAATCAGCTTCAAGCTAAATAGTGACATTTGACATTATGCTAGATGTACTTCCCGTATTACATACCTACATACATACATACATATATACATACATACATACAGACATACATACATATATACAGTACATACATACATATATACAGTACATACATACAGACAGACAGACATACATACATACATACATATAGTACATACAGTACATACATACATACATACATATATACAGTACATACATACATACATACATACATACATACATACATACAGTATATACATACATACAGTATATACAGTACTTTTTTTTTTTTTTTTCTACAGTATGGGAGTGGTTTGCAATTTATCATACAGGAGAGCAGAAGAAATGAAACCAAAACTAAACAACAACAAATAAATAAATAAATAAATAAATAATGTCATAAGTTAAATAAAGCTATACTATACTTCTTATAGATATTGTAAGTTTTAACAGCTTCTTTGTTTTGGACCTGTTGGCAGAAGGCGACATGGCTGGTCCTCTTGCTGTTCTCTGTAAACCTGGCAACCCTCCTCCCCCTGCGGCTTCTTGTTTTTCCACAGTCAAGATGGCGGCCGTCCCCGAGAGCAGAGTCCTGACTTACAGCGTTTTTAAATGGAGCTCCTTCTCCTCCACGTACCTGCCCGAGTGAGTAACACCTGCGCCCAACACGCGACCAAACGCCCCGGGTTTTCCTGCCCAGAGATCGTGTGTTTTTTGCTTTCTTCCCCCTCCATCCCGGACAGGCCCCTCACGTCTGCAGCCCGGGCTAGTTAGCATTTAGCATCTCTGTTTACGAGGAGCGCTTGATGCAGCTATCGTCAAAACGCGATACTCCAATTAAACCGTGAATTTGGCATATTTCAACAAAAAACAACCATCTAACATTACAATTTGCTTGTTATACTAATTGTATAATCAAAAAATGAAGTTGTCAATCTTGTAATAACCTTAGATTAGTTCTTTGTCCCAATTCACATCAGTAGCATGAACAATTTGTTACTATTTTACGTCTATTTACGCTTAAAACGCCCAAGAAAGCATGTATGAACTAAAATAGAATAGTTTCAATACTGAAGTCATATAATACGTCTTATTTAGATGCTATTCTAATGTAAAAATTATGTTATTGTCTGTTTTTGCGCTACGCCGGTGTCAAAAACAAACCCACTATGTTAGCGTCAAACTAGCCGCTGTGCTCAAACCCAATAGCCTTCTTTAGCCACTGTCTCTTATCTGTCCAGTCTACTGACCTTTTTAAGCGTGTTACGAAACAGACTGCGACCTAAAACGCTAGAATATTCCCCATTTTGTTAATAACGATGTAATAAAACGTGTTTTCATGCTTGTGCGCCCAAGTTGAAGCTATAAACAGCTAGCTTTAGTGTGCTCTTACATGTCAGTGCACCTGCTGCTGGGTTTGCATTCGAACACAAGCTGGACTAAAAAGTGAGTAGATTCGTGCAGGGTGGGCAATTATTTTTTCTATTTGGCCATATAAGAAACAGAAAATATCATGGAGAGCCGGGCCAAAATGCTTAACTCAGTTCTGCATGATATGAGTTGTATTCTCTATAAAAAGCAATAAATGTCATTGTTCTGACGCACTGGTCAGACTGGGAAGAGTTTATGTTATAACTAAGAAATGAAAAAGTGAGGCTGCTGAACAAAAAATGTCATTTGAAAAACCACTTCTAAAATTAAAGCAATGCAGCTTTAGTCCATGCATGAGGTCAAATTATAAAATATGTTTATTTTGTAAATCCAGATGAGTTTAAAGGGGCCGGTCAGAGTCAAACAAAGATCCGTATGTGGCCCCGGAGTTGTGCAATGCCCAGGTCTGGACGAGAGTGACCAGATGTCCCTATTTGCCCAGGACAGTCCCAGTTTTGAGCTGTGTGTCCCCTGTCCCAGCAGATTTATCCAAAACATAGAATATCTATTGTCATTTTAACAGATACAATGAAATTAAGTGCATCCTTGTTCAGTGGAAAGGTAGCAATAAATAATAAAAAATAAAAAGATCTCTGTGGACATTTAAAAAAAAGAAAGTACAAAAATCTTCCACACTCACACATATCCCAACCATACACATCCACACTCATAAATGTAAAACGTAAAATACTGTGCTTTGAGAATGTTGTGTGAGTGTAGAAAGTCCGATGAGATGCTCTGCTCGTGGCAAATTTGAGGAGATCTTGCTGACTGTACTTGTTTTCCGCACAGAATGTGGACCGCATACAATACAAAGAAAACAAGACATATAGAAATACAGAATAGACCGCAAGGAAAGCACTGAGCCGCTGCAACTACATGCACCGCCATCCTCCACGAACAAAACCATGGATTTGTCTGGTTTTAGACAAGGAATGTCCCAGTTGTCCCTATTTTGGACCAATCTGATCCCTGCCAACAGTAAAAAGAGGCAAACATTGTCATTTGTTTAGGTAAAATACAGAAAAGCTGCTTAAAATGACTAAAATACTCACTCATGTCATGAATGGGCTAAGTCCATAAAAACATTAATTAATTGTGCACTCATTTCACAATTTTATTATTACCAACCACCCCAAACCAGGGGTGTCCCAGTTTTTAATTTTGAAAATCTGGTCACCCTAGGTTACACAGAAGCTTTTTTATACAATTTCTAACATTACAAAACTATAAACAAAATATTAATAAGATCACAGTACTAAAAAGAACAGCTTAAACTGTTATATTGCCATAGGATGACCAAATTTTCAAAAGGAAAATTTTTATGCACTCGGTCTATTCATGACAAACATGAGTCAGTACAGTCACATTTTCTTTGTGTTTTAGTCGTTTTTAAACACCTTTTCTGTATTTTACCAAAACTAATAACAATTTATGTCTCTCTTTACTGTTTTCAGGATCAGATTGGTCCAAAATAGTGACACCTGGGACATTTCTTGTATAAAATCAGTGGTTTTGTATAAATCTGCTGGGACAGGGGACACAGGCTCAAAACTATGAATTGTCCCGGGTAAACAGGGACGTCTGGTCACCCTATATAGGCCTACTTTAACAAAAATGTATTACTTAAGATAGTGTTGCGTAAAGTATCTGAAGTCAGATACTAATCAATATCAAAACTGGTATCGAAACTAGAGCCTCATTTTTCGCTGGTATTAAAAATGTCCCATTCACAGAACAGAAGTGAACCTTTAGAATGCTTAGCTTTAGAATGATCTTGAGCTGTATCAGAACAAATATAAGAACACAGACTAGTACATACCCATGGACCTGGTTTAGACCTGGTTTAGACCTGGTTTAGACCACTGAGGGATTACACAGATATAAAGCCACATAGGAATAGAAAAGAAAGTTCTATGATTTAATGTTGAAACTCACATTGTACTGTCTAAAGAAAGAATGTTTTTTATTATCATCATGGTACCAGAATTGGTATTGAGTATCAAATCTATTCCTGAGTATGGAAAGCGAGTTTGAAATTTTAGTATTGTGATATTTAGAATCAACTGCACCTGTATACATTACCATATTTTGGTATTAAGTACATTTTCTGTGTTTGTAGGAATATCTTGGTGGATAAGCCTAATGACCAGTCTTCCCGGTGGTCGTCTGAAAGTAACTACCCTCCTCAGGTAAGTAAATGTTGTTGTTGTTTATATTGTCTAGCACTGGTCTTTCAGCCTGGTCTGGGTTAAAAATAACTCTGATAATTAACATTTTGAGCAGATATTAGTTTCACATTCCAGGCATTCCTCGTGTCAGCGGTGACAGGGACCTATGAGCTCTCTCAGATTATGTAACTTGTGCTTTGCCAAGTAACGTCACACGGGGCAGTCAGTGCAGATTACACATGGATATTGGTTAGGGATGGGACAATATACAATAATACCATATATTGTGATAATAAAGGTACACAGTAATCAGTAGGGCTGGGTATCATTAAGAAGTTGCCAGTGCGAAACCTAGGCCACGATACAATATGTATCTTGTACAGTGAGTGATTCAGTAATAAATAAATGAAAAAATAAAGGCAAAATCATGGTTGTGACACTAAAAGTCTTTGGTAAACCACTCCTTGTGCAAAGTTCTTATGAAACACAAACATTTTAATCATCAAAACAGTAAAAATGTCAAATGTGTCACATTCCTTCCTCTAAACAAGCACAGAACTGTAGTTCTTTAACAAAATAATTTTGTAAAATATACACCAAAAAATACTCTTGGTGATATACCAATACTGTATCATCACATTAAACAATACGATATATTGATATTTCAATATTTTTGCACACCCCAATAATCAGTGGTGGGACATTTTTTATAATCATGAGAATCGCCAACAAAGAAAATTGCTATTTTATCACCAGAATTAAATTTTCTTCTAGATCATTATTATTTTTAACTTTCACTAACAAATTACAACGCTTACACTAACAGTTGTTTGAAAATTGAACTTTTTTTCTTCATTTCATTCAAAGAGCAATCACTTTTTTTGCCAGCTAACGTCACACATTTATATTGTCCCGTCCCTAACCAATATTAATGTGTAGTAATAAACAATAATATTGTTTATCACGATAAAAAGGGTACACCATAATCGTTTATGGGACATTTTCTATAATCGTGAGAATCGCCAACAAAGAAAATCAATATTTTATCACCAGGATGTGCAGAAAAAAAATACTTATCCCTGGTATTTGTGATCTAAAATATGGAACCTAGTGGGAATATTCAAATTATCTTTATTCATATCCATAACATTTTTTAATTTTTGGCATCTGTCATAATTTTTGTGATATGAACTGCATTTGTCTTAATAATGGAACGAAAGGAAACCACATGACTATATTGTCAGATGCCTAATATTGGTGCTATATCCATACTTTGCAGTGACAGGCAGGGGGCGTTCTGCTTGTATATCTATGGTGGAAGGTTCAGCTGTTACCATGGTGACACAGTGTACAACTAGAACAATATATTTTGGGTTCAGTATTTATCGTGTGTACAGTTTCTTAATAATTTTTGTTGTAACACAATGACATTTGAGCTGTGAAAGGTTGAACTAAATTAACCTCCTTGGCTAAATATTGACCAATAAAAGTGCATTTTGTTTTTGTCTGTTGTAGCTCAGGCCTTTTAATGATACTGTCCAATAAAAAACAGTTTCAGTCTTATCCTTTATCGCAGTATTTCTCTGTACCAATTATGATTTTTGGTTTGATTTCATTTAGTCTTTTTACAAACAGAATAAAAGCTTTTAGTATTGATTTCATGAGCGTAAAATACAGACTCTTTAAAGCTCCTATATGACGCAAAATGTTCTCTTTTGAGCTTTAAACCATGTTCTAATTACTGTTCCCGTCCCAAAAACAGACCTGGTGTTATGTTTTGTTTCATTCACACTTGTTTGAGTAACACTTTATTATTAGTCTGTCTATCTTCAAAGCTCAGAATACTGTGTTCCACTTTGTAAAGTTTTCAAGTGAACTGCTCCTTTTACCTTTAGTTTAGTAGAGATTCCTGAACTGAAATGATCCAAATGATTCTAGTGAAGGTTTATGGAGTTCAATACATAGTGGAGCACTTCCTGTATTACCACTTAAAATGAAAAGTCTTGTTAGACATTTGAGCAAATACTTCCACTCTTGCTAACATACTCAGAAAATGTAGTCCGAGTTTCAAATGATATGTTTAAGGTTGTCAAAAGTATAAATAATACACTAATCGATACTAAGACTAATATCGAAACTAGATCCTCATTTCTCGCAGATATTGATGCTTAAAAAAAAGTCCCACTGACAGGACAGAGAAGAACCTTTCATGAATGTGTGTAGAACCATCTGGAACTGGATCAGAACAAGTATAAGAGAGTAATATACACCCATGGACCTGGTTTAGACCTGGTTTGGACCTGGTTTGGACCTGGTTTGGACCTGGTTTGGACCTGGTTTGGACCTGGTTTGGACATGGACCACTATGGAGCCTACCTGCACCACTGAAGGATTACACAGATAATACCACATGAGAATAGAAAAGAAAGTTCTACCATTTAATGCGGAAAATCACAGGAGATTGTCTAAAGACATTGTGGATCATAATCAGAATTGAGTATTGAGTCTATTCCTTAATATTGAAATCGAGTTTGAATTTTTAGTATCGTGACAACCTCTCATCTTCATCTTTCTCTGTTTCCAGTTTTTGATCTTGAAGTTGGAGCGGCCGGCGATCGTCCAGAGCATAACATTTGGGAAATACGAAAAAACTCACGTTTGTAACCTGAAGAAGTTTAAAGTGTTTGGAGGGATGAGCGAAGAGAACATGACCGAGCTGTTGTCCAGGTGAGGAAACCAAGCGCACCCAAACTCTGTCATTATAACTGGAGTATTATCTGTTGTAGGGAGTATTATTTGTTCCATATTGGTGAGCTGTTGTACAGTTGTAGGGAGTATTATCTGTTCCCTAAGGGTGAATTGTTGTACAGTTGTAGGGAGTATTATCTGTTCCATAAAGGTGAGTTGTTGTACAGTTGTAGGGAGTATTATCTGTTACATAAGGGTGAGTTGTTGTACAGTTGTAGGGAGTATTATCTGTTACATATTGGTGAGCTGTTGTACAGTTGTAGGGAGTATTATCTGTTCCATAGGGTGAATTGTTGTACAGTTGTAGGGAGTATTATCTGTTCCATAGGGTGAATTGTTGTACAGTTGTAGGGAGTATTATCTGTTCCATAAAGGTGAGTTGTTGTACAGTTGTAGGGAGTGTTATCTGTTACATAAGGGTAAGTTGTTGTACAGTTGTAGGGAGTATTATCTGTTCCATAAAGATGAGTTGTACAGTTGTAGGGAGTATTATCTGTTCCATAAAGGTGAGTTGTTGTACAGTTGTAGGGAGTATTATCTGTTACATAAGGGTGAGTTGTTGTTATGAGTTGTTGTACAGTTGTAGGGAGTATTATATGTTACATAAGGGTGAGTTGTTGTACAGTTGTAGGGAGTATTATATGTTACATAAGGGTGAGTTGTTGTACAGTTGTAGGGAGTATTATCTGTTACATAAGGGTGAGTTGTTGTTATGAGTTGTTGTACAGTTGTAGGGAGTATTATATGTTACATAAGGGTGAGTTGTTGTACAGTTGTAGGGAGTATTATATGTTACATAAGGGTGAGATGTTGTACAGTTGTAGGGAGTATTATCTGTTACATAAGGGTGAGTTGTTGTTATGAGTTGTCGTACAGTTGTAGGGAGTATTATATGTTACATAAGGGTGAGTTGTTGTACAGTTGTAGGGAGTATTATATGTTACATAAGGGTGAGTTGTTGTACAGTTGTAGGGAGTATTATATGTTACATAAGGGTGAGATGTTGTACAGTTGTAGGGAGTATTATATGTTACATAAGGGTGAGTTGTTGTACAGTTGGGGGGGTCATTTATTGAACTTTTTATATTTTTCTGCATTCTGATAAGATTTGAGGTTTGGAGGGTTAAATAAAGGTGCATTGTGTAACCTTTCTGATTTGTCTGGGATGTTTCACAGTATGGCATTAAACCTTTCTTTCTTCATTGACACCAAACCACACCACGTTACAGTATATAGTTTTTCTGGTTGAAAACCTGTTCTCGTTTGATGGTGTCAGTGTTAAAATGACAGTATTATCGATTATCGTCTGTATTTTCTCCAGGGATATATGTCTTACGTAAAAATCTGTTAAGTGGAACTGAAAAAGCCAGAACATGCATCTCTAGTGAACATAGATTTGTTCTGATGAAGTAGAAGTTGAATGTACTTTCTTTTTTGTTTTTGCAGTGGCCTTAAGAACGACTACAACAAAGAAACGTTTACTCTGAAGCACAAGATCGATGAGCAGATGTTCCCCTGCAGATTCGTCAAAATAGGTCAGACATGTAACTTTTCTGGTTCTACTTCACCACCTTCTCTTCTCCATGGAGTTATTGTAAACTAATAAACCTTTTTGGCTGTGTTTGCTAATGTGTGTGTTGAGTCTCCATGGTAACTGGTAAACATTCTCCCCTATACACATACATGTAGAACAGCCCCAGCGCGACATCACTGCACAGTCTCAGTAGTTGGCAGAATGCACTTCTTTCTGATCCTTCTCGTCTCTCATCCTTACTTTTACATAACATTTGTGTGTGCAGTGCCTCTGATGTCGTGGGGGCCCAGTTTTAACTTCAGCATCTGGTTCATCGAGCTTCACGGCATCGAAGAGCCTGACGTGGTGCAGCCCTGTCTCAACTGGTACAGCAAGGTAACTATACTTCACTGAGCCACACAGGCTGCACTAGCACTGACTCTCTGTAATCTGACTGGAGCAGGTGCTGGGGTTTAGGCACTGACCAGACCGAAGCATTTTAGATTTAAACCACTGGATTTCAGCATTGAACCAGCAACCCTAATGAGAGAGTCATGTGAGGCTTGGCGATCATATCTGGGGACACAGTTGGGTCAAGTTTATTGAATTTAAAATCAGAATCTCCTTTAAAAGTGCACTGCGTAACATTTCTTATGAAGGGTCTGCTACCCGCCTGTCTTCATGGAAATGTTCTTGCTTTGTTCCACAGTATAGATTAAACTATATCACAAGACAAGCAGGTTACAGCACTACACTACATTACAGCTCAGATAAATGAATCATGAATAATGAATGAATAAATGCTATAATAAATGAATAAATCCCATAATGAATAAATGTTTAATGTCATACCATGGATCATTTAAAAAGACTCCAGCTGTTCATTGGCCACTACACCTGAGTGAACGTTGATCTGGATTCTTAGTCTCAGTCTGTGTGATGTGCTGCCCTCTTGTGTTCAGTACAGGGAACAGGAAGCGATCCGTCTGTGCCTCAAACATTTCCGTCAGCACAACTACACCGAGGCCTTTGAGTCTCTGCAGAAGAAGACACGAATCGCCCTGGAGCACCCCATGCTCACCCACCTCCACGCCAGGCTGGTGCTCCAAGGAGACTTCGACGCCTGCGAGGAGCTCATCCACAAGGCCGTCCGGGGTGAGATACATACACTATTATGTACAGTATATACTGTATATACAGGCCGTCCAGGGTGAGATACATATACTATTATGTACAATATATACTGTATATACAGGCCGTCCGGGGTGAGATACATATACTATTATGTACAATATATACTGTATATACAGGCCGTCCGGGGTGAGATACATATACTATTATGTACAGTATATACTGTATATACAGGCCGTCCAGGGTGAGATACATATACTATTATGTACAATATATACTGTATATACAGGCCGTCCGGGGTGAGATACATATACTATTATGTACAATATATACTGTATATACAGGCCGTCCGGGGTGAGATACATATACTATTATGTACAATATATACTGTATATACCGTCCGGGGTGAGATACATACATATTATGTACAGTATATACTGTATATACAGGCCGTCCAGGGTGAGATACATATACTATTATGTACAATATATACTGTATATACAGGCCGTCCGGGGTGAGATACATATACTATTATGTACAGTATACTGTATATACAGGCCGTCCGGGGTGATACATATACATTATGTACAATATATACTGTATATACAGGTCCGGGGTATATATCTGTATATACAGGCCGTCCGGGGTGAGATACATATACTATTATGTACAGTATATACTGTATATACAGGCCGTCCGGGGTGAGATACATGACATACACTATTATAAGATACACAGTATATTTAATTAATTATTATTATTATTAATTAATTATATACTGTATATATAAGGCACTCCTGGGTGAAATACATACTACACTCTCATATATGAATGCTGTACAGTGTGTATAAGGCCATAAGGGGTAATGTATAAAAAAGGTCACTTGTTTGTGTTGTAAATAGACGCATGTGTTGGACACATGAGCGTTTGTGCCTCTGCCTGTTTTGATCAAAGTAGCAAGTTATGTAAATGAAATGTCCTTTATCTCACTGAAACTAAACAAACTGAACTGGAACTGAATTCAGAAAGAAACCACAATCACACTGTAGATGAATCATGTTCAACTTATTAACGGTTACTTGGTGTAAATGGGGAAGATCAGTACAGATTTCAATCTTCATGACTTTTTGAGCTTCCTCTTTTTGGATCATTCAAAGGTCAGATTCTTTAGTTTTAGGGCTGATGCAGCACAGGGACGAGGAAATCAGAATCAAAACATGTAAAATGCACTTTCACTTTTTGAAGCCTTGTGTTTTCCACAGGTAATTTATGATCAAACACAGCTTTGTCACAGCAGAACTGTCACTTTAAATACAATGGACTGAAAACTGGGGCATTTTTATAACTTTTATCAATAACGAAAATTTTATGATTTTATTTATTTTTTTAAATGTTGCCCAAAAAATACTTAACATTTTATAAAGTTATGACCTCCTCAAAAACTGGAGTTGTGTTTTGTTTCATTTACATTTTAGTGTCCCTTTATTATTAGTCTGTCTACTTCTCCAAAGCTCAAAATGTTCTATTTCACCTTGTGATGTCATGAACTGGTGTTTTCAGCCTAAATCTGCAGGGTCTGTGTGTTAAACATGTGTGAGTGAAATAAAACACAGCTCCAGGTCTGTTTGTGATGAGGAAACAATGTTATAACAGGCCAGAAAAATCTTTGACCTTTTTAAAGCTCACCTCTCCCTCTCCTCTTCCTCTCTGTTGTCAGACGGTCTGTTTAACCAGTACATCAGTCAGCAGGAGTACAAACCTCGCTGGAGCCAGATCATCCCAAAGTGTAACAAAGGTCCCACCTCCCAGGAGCCGCCCCGAGAGGACGCAAACAGTGAGAGCTTTTATTCTGAAGGGATTCTACTTCCTGGTACATTTTAACGTGCAGATGACAGGTTTTTCTGTTTGTTTGTTTTTTATTCTGACTTGATAATACTCGTGTTAAATATGTAGTACAGTTTTACATCACTTGAAAAAAAATGTAAATTGCAGGAAGTAGTGCTGATTTCTTAGGAAAAAAAAAAGTAATACCTCTACTTATGTAATTAAAATGGAAAATTAAATCCAAAGTGCAGTGACATTGCAGTTGCATTTCTGTGGTGGTTAAAGAATGATTTAACAAAATAAATCCAACCCACTTACACTTTACTCCATGAACAAAACAGTTTCCAAAGTGCCGCACAATACAAATAAAACATATCCAATAGAAATATAAAATAAAAACGCTATTTAACTCCTGTAGTCCTTGTTAAGAAAATAAAACTAGTAAAATCAAATAGGTGCAAGAATATTAATATATATTAAAAAAAAAAAAAACATAAAAAGAAATACGATACACAGAGAAGCACACAACTCACGTGGTGTTAAAAGCCAGAGAGTAAAAGTGGGTCTTAGGACGAGACTTAAAATACTCCACTGTGGAGGCTGTACAGACATGGGGGGGCAGAGCATTCCAAAGCTTGAGATAAAGGTGTTGTCATTTATATATATATCGTCTATAATTCCACAGTAGTTATGATTAGACAAGTTTGGCCGTAGTTACAGAATTATCTCTGTTTGTTGCATCCGGAGACGTGAAAATTGACAAAACTCGATCACTGGGCCCCGCTGCTTCCAGAGTTACATCAAATCAAACGCTCCCTCACAGACGTATGAATGAAGCCTGTCCCAGCGTATAGAGTACAGAGTATATGTTGATTTCATGATGTTTCTGTCTTATCTCTGCTCCACAGTCTCATGGAACAAAGGAGCTTTAGTGTCTCCAGACGATCACCAGAACCACACAAGCTCACAAATCTCACTGAAACTCTCAGCATAAAAGTAGCATCTGAGCCAACGACTAATTCTGATCTGAAATAAGCAGGGATTTACAGGCTGATTTTGGCCTAGGATGTCCAAACTTCTGTTCAGTAGTTATTTCAAGGATAAATAACAGTTACATATTTGGATCTCTTAAAGTGAACTGGGTTTTAAGGAAATAAGTGCTATTTTCTGTTCCTATGCCTGTATCGCTTAGTATCAGTTAGTATCGGTTATCAGCAGATACTTAAAGTCATAGTATCTGTAGCTGGATTGGTACATCCCAAGAAATAAAACACACTCACCACTTTAATTGAAGCTCTGGCTTAAATGTCTTAAAAGTCTTCCTGGGCTGTGTCTCATTTCTTTTTCCTTGCTTCCTTCTCCACGGTTCCTCTCCTCGAGTCTCCATTTTTCAGTTGTCAGTCTAATGTGTCATATTAAGTGGTGTCCCAAAGAAAACCGCAGAAAGAAGGAGTAAACCTGACAGACGCTTCAGAGAAAAGAATCAAACTTTATTGGTGTCAGTGAGGCGTTCAGATCCTCTCTCCTCTCTCTCTCTCTCTCTCAAGGAAAGAGAAATAGACTCGCTCAGTTGCCGAGTGGATGATGGCATTCACATCAAATGCCACATCAATTTATTATTATAGCTATGGTTATATCTGCTGCCCTGTCCAACCAAGAAGTAAAATAAACTTCACTGAAATTGTCAAATTATACAAAACAGGGAACTTTTCTTTTTTTTGCAATATCTTAGATCTAATTCTTTATTTCTTTTTAGTGAAATGAGTAGTCTAACCTGTCATATGCTTTTTTAAACCTCATTTTTAAGGTTAGTGGTCTCATAATGGACTAAAGTGGCATTTTTTTGTCTCTCTGCTGTCTCTTCTTTTCCTTTATCATTTCATTTAATTGTGCATTTCCCATCACCCCCCTCTCCTCCTCACGTTTCAGGTGATAATGACGACAACAGGCCTGGGATGAGAGGAGGCCATCAGATGGTCATAGATGTGCAAACGGGTAAGAAAAATGTGTTTAAACTCCTGTCTACTGCTCAACTTATGGTTAGGTTTTGTTCTTATTACGGTTATAGAAAATCAGATACTAATGGATTTTTTTTTTTTTAATATATAATCGATTTCTAAATTAGATACTCATTTTTCACAGTTATCCATACTAAAAATTTCCCATTGACAGAACAGAAATTTAACTTTCCTGAAGAGGTTTAGAATGAGCTTGAGCTGCATCAGAACAAGGATAAGAGCATATAGACTAGTACTAGTATACACCCATGGACCTGGTTTAGACCTGGTTTAGACCTAGTTTAGACCTAGTTTAGACCTGGTTTAGTCCTGGTTTAGTCCTGGTTTAGACCTGGTTTATACTTGGTTTAGACCTGGTTTAGACCTGGTTTAGACCTGGTTTAGACCTGGTTTATACTTGGTTTAGACCTGGTTTAGACCTGGTTTAGACCTGGTTTAGACTTGGTTCAGACCTGGTTTATACTTGGTTCAGACCTGGTTTAGTCCTGGTTTAGACCTGATTTAGTCCTTGTTTAGACTTGGTTTAGACCTGGTTTAGACCTAGTTTAGACCTAGTTTAGACCTGGTTTAGACTTGGTTTAGACCTGGTTTAGACTTGGTTTAGACCTGGTTTAGACTTGGTTTAGACCTGGTTTAGACCTGGTTTAGACTTGGTTTAGACCTGGTTCAGACCTGGTTTAGACCTGGTTTAGACTTGGTTTAGACCTGGTTTAGACCTGGTTTAGACCTGGTTTAGACTTGGTTCAGACCTGGTTTCAGACCTGGTTCAGACCTGGTTTAGACTTGGTTTAGACCTGGTTTAGACCTGGTTTAGACCTGGTTTAGACCTGGTTTAGACCTGGTTTAGACTTGGTTCAGACCTGGTTCAGACCTGGTTTAGACCTGGTTTAGACTTGGTTTAGACCTGGTTTAGACCTGGTTTAGACCTGGTTTAGACTTGGTTTAGACCTGGTTTAGACCTGGTTTAGACCTGGTTTAGACCTGGTTTAGACCTGGACCACTATAGAACCTACCTGGAACATAGTATGATCTTTGAGTGTTCAAGCCCCTTGACTGAACTTCCAAAGTTTATAAAGCAAGAATGGTGAGATTATGAAGGCCAGTAGGCACCAGTTGGACAGCAATATGCCACAATTTAGGTAATGGTGTGCCAATAGTACACCAAGGGAAGATGATCGTGTCACTATAGCTAGAACTATGTTAAACTGAGAGATGTATGTGGAGGATAAATGACTTAAATTCTCTTACACCATGCTGTGTGTGGTGCAGAGACTGTGTACCTGTTTGGAGGCTGGGATGGGACTCAGGACCTGGCGGACTTCTGGGCCTACAGTGTCTCAGAAAACCAGTGGAGCTGCATCTCCAGAGACACAGAGAAAGAGGTGAACTACCTTTATACCAGATTCAAACAGTGTCAGAATGTCTTAATTTCAAAAGTGTGATTAAACTGATTATTTTGTTATATATTTAAATTTAGATTTAATTCATTTGACACCACTAATGGAAATTAAACATTAAAAAACATACTTTCTAAGACAACATCTCCACATCTTCACATAGCAGTGTAAAACATTAAACTCTAAAAAGTCATCAGAATTATGTAACAAACAAAATAACTAATAGAATCAATAGATAAAATAAATAATAATAATAAAATCAGTAAATAAAAGCCAGAAAAAAGAGTCATAGGATATTATTAGGCACATCACTGGTGCAAGGCTTCAACAGTGAACATAGAAAGTGAGACAAAGGCTTCACATTTACTCCCAAATAGTCTTTAATGAATGACAATGTTTTGATTGAATTGTTGTCATTCATTAAATGCAGTTTGGGAGTAAGTGTGCAGACTTTGTCTCACTTTCTGGGAGGGCATCTGACACAGAGGAATATAATAGACATTACTTTACAGAGTTTGTTACCACAGATGACCCTGAACTCCCCTGTCTGTCCTCAGAGCGGGCCGTCCGCGCGCTCCTGTCATAAGATGTGCATAGACTCTGTGAGGAGGCAGATTTACACTCTGGGCAGATACCTCGACTCCAGCGTCAGAAACAGCAAAAGTCTCAAGAGCGACTTCTACAGATACGACATCGAGCAGAACACCTGGAGCCTGCTGAGTGAAGACACTGCAGCCGACGGAGGGCCCAAGCTCGTCTTCGACCACCAGGTCAGAGGTCACACACTGGGTCAAGGGTGTAAAAGCTGTCTACAGCGATGCACATGTACATATTTTTCTCACTATATGTCGCACTTTTTTCATGGTTTGGGTGGTCCTGTAACTTATACTCAGGTATGATTTATATATATATATATATATATATAATATATATATATATATATATATATATATATATATATATATATATATAAAAATATATAATTTAGTTTGTTATTTTCACACTGACAGCCACGAGAGGGCTCTCTAGGCTTGTGTGCCAGTATCTGCTACTCCTATTAGTACTTCTGTACCACTGCAAATTTTAAATTCCTCTTCTGCTTTCCCTTCTTCCTCTTCGTCTCCTCGTCTTCTTCAGATGTGTATGGACTCAGAGAAGCACATGATCTACACGTTTGGAGGCCGGATTCTGACGTGTAATGGGAGCATGGAGGACACGCGCACCACAGAGCCTCAGTTCTCGGGTCTGTACGCCTTCCACTGCGGCAGCGCCACCTGGAGGCTGCTCAGGGAAGACTCGTGTAACGCCGGCCCAGAGGATATACAGTCCCGCATAGGCCACTGCATGCTCTTCCACACTGTGAGTAACACTAAAGTACCAGTGTGAAGGAGATGAGTGAGAGTGACTACAGTTAAAAGTTCTATATTACGCAAAACTGATTTCTGTCAGTTGTTCATTATTAACACTCTTCAGACAAAATCTGACTATGTGGGGTTGACCATAACTCGAGTTCTGTGTTACAGCCTGTGTGTCAGCCTGGAGTCCAAAGCAGCGTTTTATGGCCTTGTCTTGAACCCTGTAAATATAGGTATTATTAAGAAGTTGCCAATACGATACAAACCTCAATACATAGGCCATGATATGATATGTACCTCGATACAGTGAACTTTTGATTTGATATGATATATTTCAAACTGATTTGATATGGCTCAATAAAAAATGAAGGCTAAATCATGGTTGTGACACTAAAAATCTTTGTTAAACTACTTTTTATGTAAAGTGAAGATGAAATGCAAAATTTTAATCTTCAAAAAGTGAATATCTCAAATGTGACTCATAAACAAGTTTCCTTCCTCTAAACAACAACAAATCTGTAGCTCTGTAAGAAAATAAATTAGTCAAATACACTAAAAATAATACTCTTGGTGATATAACAATACAGCAGCCCACGATATCCATACTGTATCATCACATTAAACAATATAATATATGGATATTTTAATATTTTTGCACACACCTACCTTTGAACGTCTTTACATTTCGCACAGGCATAAAAGGATTACGCACCTTGCTCAAGCTCTGTAAAGTTGCATATCCTCACAAAGACATGTAACTCACACATTTAGACAGAAAACACCTTAAGCTCTGTCTCAGGTTTTATTTCGTAATGATTGGACCAATACTGACACAGATAATCCGTGCTAAACCTGGTCAAACAAGATTGAAAAATAATATGATCAAATATACACACGTCTAATTCATCCGCAGACAGTGCCGAACATGCCTTGTTTTCCACATTTAAACATTGTTTGAAAAAGATCCACAAAGAGATATTTTGACCTTTTTTGTCTATAACTTAATTTAGAGTGAAAACGAAGAGAGAGAAGCGCTCCTCCTGTGTCTGTGTCCCTCAGCACCGTGAGCGTTAGAACAGCAGTAGAGAGACGTGGAGAGGGACAGAACAGAGGAGCAGGTCCAGTTTTACTCTAAACATTTAAATGATAAAAATGAAGTTTAATAACATATTGTAAGCCTATATTGAGTATATTGTAAAGCATAAAAGCTGTTTAATGCATTAAAAGCGGCTCTATCAACACATAAAACCCATTCAAAACAAAATATATAAAGAAATTAAACCAAATAAAAATCGTGCGACCAAAATTCTGAATTGATTCAATGATTGTAAATTCTTTCAAATCCTGTCTCGTTCTTGTCTCTTGACTAATGCAAACAACAAGATGAATGGATTTTTTTTTTTAAACAAATTTGTCTATAAAGTTAAAAAGTTATAATTCAGTTGACCGATTAATTGAAAAAAAAAAAAAAAAAGAAAGAAAAGAAAATAGATTAGAGCCGTTAAATTAATTGATAAGAAAATAATCGTTAGTTGCAGCCCTAGTTTTTGTTATAGATCAATATTGTATTTGACTCTAACTGCCATGTTTTGTATACTGAACAGAGTCAAGATTTTCATAGTTGCTCTTTGGTTCCACAGAGAAACCGGTGCTTGTACGTCTTTGGAGGTCAGAGGTCAAAGACGTACCTAAACGACTTCTTCAGCTACGACGTGGACGGAGATCACGTGGAGATCATTTCAGACGGAACCAAGAAGGACTCGGGCATGGGTGAGAGAATTACAACAACATGCCCACGTAAAATACCAGAAATAATGTGTTATCCAACACATTTGAACCCATCAAAAAAAAAAAAAAGATTCAAAACATAAAATCCAAACTTTTTCAGACATTCTGAAAAATAGCTAAAATGGGCCCTTTAACAGAATAAAAAATGATTATCAGTATTCTGTTTTTTTTGTATTGACTTTTTTTGTATTTCTTCTGTTTAGTTCCGATGACGGGTTTCACGCAGAGAGCCACGATTGACCCCGAGCTGAATGAGATCCACGTGCTCTCAGGCCTCAGCAAAGACAAGGACAAAAGAGAGGAGAACGTACGCAACTCTTTCTGGATCTACGACATCGCAAGAAACAATTGGTGAGATTCAAGATTCGAGGATTTATTGTCATTGAATCCCATTGTCGAGTGTCTGTCCCAGTATCTGTGTACGCTGGTGTATGAGAATAAGAATGTGTGTGTGAATGGGTGAGTGGTTCCTTGATGTAAAGCGCTTTGAGCCTTGAAGGTACAAAAGAGTTGTCCAAACATGTGTCCATTCACCAAACAGTATCAGTGCCCTATACGTTCTGCTTCTCTCAAACTGTGGAGCGGCACTTCCCATTCATTGTGCGTTGAGAATTAGCTGAGTCGTGCTAAAATAAATCTATATTTAAATATCAGACAGAGGACAGCAGGTTACAGACTCATATCCACAGACAGCGTGTTCAGATTTTTACTACAAGGTAAGCACATCACTGGAGGAAATCTCAAACCCCAAAATGGAACACAAAACAATGACAAGTCCATAGGTTTTCTGGGCAGGATCATTCAGACCATAGCACTATTTTAACTTCAGTAATTCATGTTATTTTCAGCACGAGCTTCAAGACACAGACACCTACTTTTCTAAACACAGAAGCTTCCTCCAGTGAAGTACAGACGGATTATTTGTTTATGTAGACAGTGGATGTGCACGCAGCCGTAGTACAGAAAGCACTGCTGTTTGTGTGCTTAACATAAAGTTGCAACACTAGCTAGCAGTGTTGGCAGCACTAAAACAGTTTCAGTGTGTGATGAAAGAAGTTCTGATGCTAAATGAACATTAGTGATTAGCGATATGTCTTAATGACCCATATGCTTTAAATGCTGATGAGTGCGTAAATGACGAGAAGAAATGTGTCAAACTTCAGTAGCCAGACATCCACTCATACCTGATCCATACACCTATCCCCGCCCCCTGGAGAGTCTGAAATCTGCTAAAATCCTCCAACACACTGACATGATACAGACGAGACAGAGACTCTTTCTGCAGGAGACATGTGCAGTAGTGACGTAGCCTGATGATCCTTCGATTTACATTGTAGCAAAGGTTTTAAGTATTTAGCGGCACAGTGGCAGAGCAGTTAGGGCTCTCGCCTCACAGCAAGAAGCTCCTGGGTTTGATTCTGGTGCTTTCTGTGTGGAGTTTGCATATTCTCCTTGTGCCTGTGTAGGTTTTCGCCATTTTTCCTTAACACTAAAAACACGGACAGTCGGGTCAATTCCAGGACTCACTTAAAAAAGAGATTCTTAATGTCAGCGGGACTATCCTGGTTTAATGAAGGTCAAATAAAATAAGATGTATCTAGTTTCGATACTAGTTCAGTATCAGTAGTAATTAATACTTTTGACAACCCTATTCACTGAGCAAGCTGAGAAACGTTGATAAATAAATATATAAATTGTGGTTGATTGTTTGTGTCCTCAGGTCGTGTGTTTATAAGAACGATCAGGCGGTGAAGGAAAACCCAACGAAAGCTCTACAGGAGGAGGAACCCTGTCCACGCTTCGCTCATCAGCTGGTCTACGACGAAATGCACAAGGTCAGAGAGAATGGAACTGGTTTAAAGAGGGGCTAGTGCGAAAAATCATGATAATTACTATATGCAATTATCATTTTATACATGATAATAGATGAAACACTGTATTTTTGTACTCAACATTTATCGTATATATAAAATTTCTCTGTGAAAGTGGGAGATTTGGGGTAAATTTGAGCTGTGGAGGTTTGACTTAGTAAATTCTAATTAATAATTGTGCCATTTGTTGCAGCTTGGGCCTTTCAATCCTCCATAAATACACAAAAACACGATACAAAACAATACACTTACAACATGGTGGGGGAATGAAATGACCAGGAGAGGGCAGCAGAGTACACTACAAATTAAAACATGGAGAACTCTCACTCTCTTCCCTGAACTGTTTTGTCTGATAAGTTTCACAAACACTAAAAAACTGTATTTGTTAAATGAGTAAGAGCACATTAGGAGTGAGGAGGATTGTTTAACATTCAAAGGCCTGTACCACGTTTTTTCCATATATTTGAGCAAATTGTGCCTTGCCCCAATACAGTGCTATTATATAAGCATCTCTTGAGGTCAAAATAAGTCTCCTGCATTGTATATTTGATAATCAGGAGGTTTGTGTTAGCATTCTAGTTGTTGTTATCTTTACTGTCACAGCAAAACTCCACTCTGGTCTTTGAGAGTTGTGAAAAGTGCTTTTAAACTCATCGTGGTGAATAATTAGGATGCTGGGGGGGTGGGAAGGAGGTCCGTCACCTGCTTCCCACCTCATGGAGATGTCGTCGCTCTGCCTGGAATGTTCCACAGTATGACATTAAACAGCTCTACCGTACATTTATTCAATTACAGGTGGTTTTACAGCTCAAAAATAGGTATTCTGACTGTGAGCGGGGTCGCCTCTCCACAGATCTGACCTGTCACTTGGTCTGGTTTGGTCTCCATGAAGATAGAAAGGTTTAATGCCATACTGTGAAACATTCCAGACAAAGCAATAACATCTCCAAACGCTCCACCAGAAAAGTTACACAATGCGCCTTTAAACTTGATTAAACATGTTACCGTTTCGTTATTCCCACTGTCCTCTGTATTTCTCAGTAGGATTGGAGATGTTTTGAAGCTTTGTTTTAGACGAGGTAACACTTGAATAATGTTGAAACTGTTGTTGTTTTGTGTTTTAGGTGCATTATTTGTTCGGCGGAAACCCGGGGAAGTCCTGTTCTCCAAAAATGCGTTTGGACGATTTCTGGTCTTTGAAACTCTGCCGACCGTCCAAAGAATACCTGCTTCGGCACTGCAGATACCTCATCAGGAAGTACAGGTACAAATATATACAAGGATTATTTGCAATAGTTACAATAATCATACTGACTTTTTCTCACTGACCCTCTGAAGTTGTATTTGGAGTGGTTCATGTTTGAGTTTTGTCGATCTACCCTCATTTTCAGCTCCACTGGTAAATGCCCACTGTGACGTACATACTTCCTTCTCCACTTTGATGTTCTTAATGGGTGATACTCGTAGGATTGGGCAGCGTTGCGTCGTCTTTTTGCTCTAGTTTGATGTGCACCTCTCCAGGAAGGGCCCACAGCACGCGACGCTTTGTCATTACATTTACTCCCATGTCAGCTCCCATTGGACACCACAGTTTTCTAACGTGGAAGTCAGTGCACTTGTTTATTTTATGAAGTTGTTTTAGATCAATATTGTGTTTTCAAATGTACAAATTATAACAGAATGATCCACGGGGGTCAGAGGTTATAACTACAGAGCACACACAAGCACTACAGGGCGGGTTTAAAGGGGACATATGTAAAAATGCCTACTGCTGTATTTTACTTCATTGGTGATATTGTGTTGTTCTGACCTGTGCTGCCCCCTGGTGGTGTTGTGTTGTAGGTTTGAGGAGAAGGCCCAGTCTGAGCCTCTGTCTGCACTCAAGTATCTGCAGAACGACCTGAGTCTGACAGTGGACCACAGTGACCCAGACGAGACCAAAGAGGTGAGAGGACACTACTACTACATGTACTACTGCAACTACTATGACAACAAGCATATACTACAACCACTACACCACTACACCACCACTACTACTACTACTACTACTATAGAGATGAGACCAAAGAGGTGAGAGAATACTACTACTACTATGACAACAAGCAACATACTATAACTACTACTACACTACTACACTACTACTACTACTACTACTACTACTACCACTACCACTACCACTACCACTACCACTACCACTACTACTACTACTACTACTACTATAGAGATGAGACCAAAGAGGCGAGAGAATACTACTACTACATGTACTACTGCAACTACTATCACAACATGCATATACTACTACCACTACCACTACCACTACCACTACCATTACTACTACCACTACTACTACTACTACCACTACCACTACCACTACTACTACTACTACTACTACTACTACAGCAGTGATGAGGCCAGAGAGGTGAGAGAATACTACTACATCTACATGTATTGCAAATACTACGACTACCACATATACTACCACTACATCGAGACAATTCTACTACTGCATGTACTACAAGTATTACTATTGCATGTATTACTGCAGCAACGACAATGTGACCAAAGAGGTTGTAATACATATTACTGCATATACTACTGCTACACCAACTGTTACTACTCCAGCTATTATTCTATCATAGACACTTCTGCATATACTTCTACTAATACTACTGTTACTATAATACTATTACTACTATGATGAGATCAAAGAGTTGAGATACTTTTACTACTCCTGCCACTATTAAACTGCCCAAACAGACAGCCATCACACTACTGTAGTATTAATATTAGTTAGTACTACTTCATCCTAGTGTGAATACTCCTACTGCTACTACACCTGTTACTGCTACTTAATATCTATAGTTTCATGTTATACAGTCCCATGTTAGTCTCATGTTATATAGTTCTATGGCCTGTGTTCTATAGTCCTGTGTTCTATAGTCTCATGTTCTATAGTCCTGTGTTCTATAGTCTCATGTTCTATAGTCCTGTGTTCTATAGTCTCATGTTCTATAGTCCTGTGTTCTATAGTCTCATGTTCTATAGTCCTGTGTTCTATAGTCTCATGTTCTATAGTCCTGTGTTCTATAGTCTCATGTTCTATAGTCCTGTGTTCTATAGTCTCCTGTGTTCTATAGTCCTGTGTTCTATAGTCCTGTGTTCTATAGTCTCATGTTCTATAGTCCTGTGTTCTATAGTCTCGTGTTCTATAGTCCTGTGTTCTATAGTCCTGTGTTCTATAGTCCTGTGTTCTATAGTCCTGTGTTCTATAGTCCTGTGTTCTATAGTCCTGTGTTCTATAGTCCTGTGTTCTATAGTCCCTGTGTTCTATAGTCTCATGTTCATAGTCCTGTGTTCTATAGTCCTGTGTTCTATACTCCTGTGTTCTATAGTCCTGTGTTCTATAGTCCTGTGTTCTATAGTCCTGTGTTCTATAGGCCTGTGTTCTACAGTCCTGTGTTCTATAGGCCTGTGTTATACAGTCCCATGTTAGTCTCATGTTCTATAGTCCCATGTTGTATTAGTTTAATGCAGAAACTCTTAATATTCCAGTAACGTGTGTTTCCTTTAGTTCCAGCTTCTGCCGAGCGCTTTGTTCAAGTCCAGCTCTGACTTCATCCCACTGGGTAAGAAACCTGCATGAAACTGGAATATAAGAAAAAAAACTCGGCCAGTCTTTTTTATTATTATTTTTATGTCCGCTACATTTTGGTGAAATGTGTAGTGTTTTTTTTAGAGTTAGCGTATTAAATCATTTCTTTGTTCATGTTTTATTAAAGGTACATTGTGTAACTTTTCTGACGGAGGTTCCGTCAAATGCTTCTTGATTGCGATTTTATTGCTTTGTCTGGAATGTTTCACAGCATTAAACGGACCAATTTACAGGTCAGATCTGTGGAGAGGCGACCTCGCTCACAATCAAGATGCCTGTTTTTCTAAATATTTTTGAGCTATAAAACCTCCTGTGATTTAAATAATTGTAAGATAGAGCTGTTTAATGTCATATGGAACATTCAATGACGTCTCCATAGAAACAAGCAGGTGACGGACCCCCATCCAAGATGTTACACAGTGCATCTTTAAAAGTATTCTATATTATATTACACAAAACCAACTCTTGTGAGCTTTAAGTCATGTTCTAATGTTATTATCTCCTCAAAAACATACTGGAGTTGTGTTTGTTTCATTCACTCATGTTTGAGTAACTCTTTATTATTAGTCTGTCTACATCTCCAAAGCTCCAAATGCTCTGCTCCACCTTGTGATGTCATGAAGTGGTTGTTTTCAAGTTAACAGCTCCTTTTACCTTTTGTTCAGTAGAGATTGTCAGTTCCAGGACTGAAATGATCCAAATAATTCTCATGAAGGTGTATGGAGTTTAAAAACACAGTGGAGCACTTCCTGTATTACCACATGACATCAGAAGGTGGAACAGAGTTTTCAGTTTGAGAGAAGAACTCAGCCTGAATGTTCAGGGTTTGTATGTTCAACATGTGTGAATGAAACAAAACACAACTCCAGTGTAATAATTTAGACCTTTAACCTTTAAGACTATTTAAAGTGTAGTTTTTATAAAGCATTCATTTGAACAATTCATTCATTTGAATTTCCTTTGGGATCAATAAAGTGTCTGTTTATCTATTTTTTAAATGAATGTTTTTAATGTGTTCAGGTTTTTCAGACGTGGACCAGACTTATGCCCAGCGGACTCAACTTTTCGACACCTTGGTCAACTTCTTCCCTGACAACATGACTCCGCCCAAAGGAAACCTGGTCGACCTCATCACGCTCTAGCCCCGCCCCTCGCCACGACATCACCACTATGACGTCACTATGACATCACTGGACAGGCTACGCGCTGTTGCTCCTCAAGACGGGAGACCGACCCTATCACGCAACACCTTTTGACAAACTACAAACGTCTATTCAAAGTTTTCTGAATCTTATTGTCTTTTTAAGAAAACACGATTTTCAATTCTATTTCTCTTTAGTGGGTTAGTCCAGAATTTTCTGCTTGTTTCATATAATTCGAAGTAACTTTGGAAAGCAGACAGGAGCAGAGTGTGTGTGAGATTTTGAGTGGCGTTTTTAGCAGCAGGTTTGATTGACCCGCTCCCTGCTAAACCAGTGGTGCAGGCAGGAAGGGGCGTTACCTTCAACAGCCTCGCTCCTGATTGGCTCTGTGGTTGCTATGATACTCGCAGTCAAAATTCTCAGCTCCCAATTTGCTCCTATAACTGCCAGCCTCGATGAGCTTCATGTGACTGGAGCTGAACACTATGGGTGATGTCACACTCACTTAATCCACTTGTTTACACAGTGTATGTCAGAACCAAACCCGACCCAACCCAGCAGCGAGGAATCTGGCGCTGGTCTAGATACACGTCAGATGCAATCTAAAACATCAGACTTTTAACCCGTGCTCAGACGGGCTCAAAGTACAGAGAGCAGCTCAGAGCTGCTCAGAGAGCACAGTGCGGTGGTGTGGTGGTGCTGCTCCGGGTTCTTAACTTTGGGAGTGTGTTTTTGACTGACACCGGAGCCATTCACCTTAATTAATGGATAGTTATGGTGTGAACATGTGATCTCTATTAGAAATGCACCGATCCAGCTCTTTCAGTTCCAATACTGATTCTAATTCTTTATCTGCTGATACCCGATATCACTCGATACCAGAGCAGAGACTGAAAACGGCATTTAATTCCTTAAAACAAAAATAAAATGATCAAATAATAAAATAATAATAATGTGAATGCCAGCTTGTGACTGTAATGTTATTTGAGAGCGACTTGTTTAAAAGCGCAAGTCAGCTCACCTGTTGGAGTTCCAGCTCAGTCATCTCTTTTGGGTCAGATTGTGTTGAATCAAAGATCAGATTAAAGTCTAACTTGAGTATCAGATCTTGAGACAGAGCAGTGTCACTAGTTAGCTTCACCCAACTTAGAAAACGTTGATGACGAGTGTGGGCGAGGCGTAGAGTGGGTTTGACCCTGTGGCTTTGCTCCTGTCTGCTCATCCAAACCAGATTTAAAAGTACACTATGTAAGTTTTCGGTTGGGGGTCTGTCAGCTGCTTGTTTCAGTGGATACGTCGGCTCTCTGTCTGGAATGTTCCACAGTATGACATTAAACAGCTCTACTTTACTATTATTTATTCAATTACAGGTGGTTTTATAGCTCAGAAATACAGACAAAAACAGACATTGTGACTGTGAGCGGGGTTGCCTCTCCACAGATCTGACCTGTAACTTGGTCCGGTTTGGTCTCCATGAAGATAAAGGTTTAATGCCGGACTGTGGAACATTCCAGACAAAGCAATAATGAAGAAAAGACCCTCCACCAGAAAATATACATATAAAAAGTGAACAGAATCCTCCGGCTTACAAAACAAATCAAACTTATTTTACAAACTCTTGACATTTGCTGAAAATTTAACTAATATCTGTCTTTTTATTTCCTTATTTTAAATTTTGAAGATTGAAGACTTGACACTATGCCACTACACTTAATTTTCTAAACCAGATGCCCTTATTTATGTTTATGCTTTATGCTTGTATATTTGATTATTACAAAACAAGCTTCTTAATTTATTCATTTAATTTTGGGTTTACTTTTTAGGTTTGGAGGGTTAATTTAAACTATAGATTTTTAAGAAATGGGTGCTCTACAGACAATATGAATGTAAATAATAATATTGGAAATTTAAAAAACATACCTTTCATTTCTCCATTGACATACATGGCAAAAAGTCTTGACCCACAGCATTAATCTGTGTACTCACCATTTGGATAGAGCACAACAGAGACTGGAATAAAACTTCCCATTCATTTTCCTCAGACTTTCTGAAAAAAAAAAAAAAAAAAAAGTTTAAAAGCTCAGGGCTAATCATCTATGTGATGACTAAGACCACAAGACCTATCGTTTCTTTAAAATTTCTGAAAACTTCATAAAAACGCTAAGTTATTAAAGAATTTTGTGTTTCAAATGTGTTATGGATATCAGTCAGCACGGAGCTGGTTAGTCTCTTTAATATTAGAGTTTTCTGGAAAGTCTGAGAAAAATGAATGAAAATTTTACTTCCAGGACCGGAGCGAGCAGTCACTGTTGAGTTCTGATTTGGTCTTTAAAGTGGAATTAAACGCTAAACCAGCCTTTTTGCTACTAAGCCTTGTATTTGATTGGCAGTTCGACACCTCTGTCCCACATCTTCGCTCAAAGTTCTGCTCAGCTGAGGAGTCGAGAACAAGCCTCAAGAACTGCCCGACAGGAGCTGGAACAAAATGATGTCATTTTGTTGGACCAGCTCTGGGTGCAAGAACAAAGTTGTCGTGATGTATGAATCGGCCCTTAGTGCTCCAGGCTCCGCCCAGTTTATCAGCTTTTAATGTGGTTGTGGGCGGAGTTTAGGTGTTTAGTTCCACTTTAAACTCAAACCAAATGAAAATATCACAAACTGTTAATACCGTGAATCATAAGTTCAAGTTTTGTTGCAGCAGTTACTAAAGACTTCTTAAAGCTGCACTATGCAACGATTCTGTCACATGTTGTCTGGAATATTCCACAATGTGGCATTAAACTCTGCTCTCTCACATTGATTCAAACATGTCAGTTTTTATTGCTGAAGACATTTCTTGTCCTTGTGGGGAGATGTGGACCTTTTAATGCCATTCTGTATTATGGAATATTATAGAGGTGACATCTCCATGGAGACGACGTGAACATTTCAGTCCCTCCACGAGAAAAGTTCCATAATGCAGCTTTAATTTGAATATAGCAGTGTCAATGGCGAAAAAGTAGCATTTATAAAATAATACCACAACTGTGTAATTTGGAACTTGGATCTTGGACCCAAGTTTTGAAAAACATTAGGTCACCATTAGCTGGAAAACTGTTGCTTGCTTGTGGCTGTGTTATTTTAGAGGAACTTATTTAACAGCACAAATCAGTTCACCTCTTGTGGTTCCAGCTAAGTCACCTTTTTCTGTTCAGATTGTGCTGAGATTGTGAAGCTCAGATCAAAGTCTAACTCGAGCACCAGAGCCCCAGACGGAGCAGTGCCTCCAGTTAGCATCACCCCCTAGAGAATGTTGATGACATCAGCTGCAATGAATTCATTTTTGTCAATATAGCACACCTCCATTTTCTATTCACCCAACTTCAACTTTAATTTTGTCTTCCGTAAAACCTTGTAGTATCACCACAAACCATACTCCTATTTAACTGTGACTCTTGTAGCACTAATCGAGACGCATCCACAGACTGTTTCTATAAACGGACACACATAAAACCAAACTCTGTGTTATTAGGCTCTTTTTTCAGACCAAGAATTTGTTTTCATACCTGACAGTTTCGACTGCTCCCTGCGCTCTTCTTCAGATCATCATCGCCGGATTAAAGAGGCAATTGAAATACGGAAACATGCCCACGTGATAAGCTATAAACTGGGACTGGGGGCTTTTTTTTTTACTCTCACACACTTGGGATACTGTTCTGAGGAAGTGGGACTGCAAGTGGCGCTGTCGTCCTGCCTCCTCTGGTAGGAAAACAGCACCAAAACCTGTTTAAATCAACTCAACGACAGCACAGCAACATCATGAGACTCCGAGGAAGAGCGCAGGAGCAGAAAAAACTGTCATGTATGAAAACAAACTCTTGGTCTGAAAAAGAACCTAATAATATAAATTATTGGAAGGCCAAATGAACCTCATTGGACTAAGCCGCTAGCTGCTGTGTTCCAAAGAGGAAGTGAGCACTGGGGGCGCGATTCCAGCTCCATCGACTCGACCAGTTCACTTTGTACTGAAAAAACATCGCCCTCTCTCTGTGACTGCTGCCGTTAGACACATCATTTTGGTCTTAAATGTGCACTATACTTTCTGCTTGAGGGTCCATCACCTGCTTGTTTCTATAGATAGATACGTCATTGCTCTGTCTGGAATGTTCCACAGTGTGACATTAAACAGCTCTACTTTACATTTATTCAATTACAGGTGGTTTTAAAGCTCAAAAACACCTAGAAGAACAGATCTGACTTGTAAGTTGGTCTGGTTCGATCTCCATGAAGATAGCTGGACATGGTTTAGACTTTGATCAGATCCTCTTCTCGCCCTGTCCCAGACCTCATTTAGACCCGGTTCTGCTCCTCCTTGTGGTCCCATTTCAGACCCGGTCCTGGTTTAGGCCCGTTTCTTTGACTGTGCGGCTGTGACGTGGATTTTCCCGCATATTTCTTCTTCTGTGGTGGAGAGAGACTCCCTCAGGACACACGTGATAACAAAAACACAGACCGATTTTTAAAAATGTATATGTTACTGAAGTAAGAGTACTGTTACTTAAGTTTTAATGCCATAATTACATACATACATTACATACATTCCAGACCAAGCAGTAACATCTCCAAGTGTTTGATGGACCTTCCAGCAGAAAAGTGCACCTTTTTAGAATCTTCATAATGTTTGTATTAACCTGCTGAACATGATCCTGGGGTTTTTATTTCACTATTTTATCCGTAAATAAATTCATAATGCAGAACTCGGCTCCAAATTCGCCCCCATACCTGCAGGCCTCGGTGAGCTTCATTTGACTGGTCCACTTCTTTTACACAGTCTGCGGTCCCTGCGTTTTGAATCACCACCATATATAATAATTGTATATAATGTGTGTAAAATAAACAGGAGAATCTATAAATAACTGTATTTATGAGCCCAGAGAAACAGAAGAACTGACAAACGCATCGAGAGCAGTGGGACGAAGTTCAAATTATTACTGCTGATGTTTCTGGTTTGAACTTTTTTTTGCATTTTTGTCGTATGGTTTTGTATGAAAAACGTGCAAAGTTCTGAATAGTTAAAGCTGCACTGTGTAGCTTTTCTGGCATACGGTCTGCCGCCGCCTTGTCTCTGTCGTGGTATTGAGTCTGTTCCCTTTTATCGCAGTTCAGGATCATAGTGTGGAATATTTTAAGGAATTTTAACCTCTCTACCAATAGAAAAGTTACACAGTGCACCTTTAGGGCTTGTATTATTAAAACGAAACACCTGACCATGAAAGTACCACTTGTTAATGATCATTTTGGAAAATATTTAACCCAAATCTTTATTTTCAACTCTCTTTGGGTTAAAATGGTGACACAATACTACACGTTGTAATCCAAAATCTGAATATTAAAGAGGGGGTATGATACAGAATCGATTTTTGAGCTTTCTCCCATGTTCTAACGTCGTCCCCTCATCGAAAACCTGCCTGAAGAGGTTTTGGAGCCATCCATGCATGTTTGAGTAATCTAGCGATCTCTCCCGGGCCCTATTCGAACCCTTTTTGCGGTTACGAAGCTCCGCCCACAAGCCAACACGGCAAATCTCCATAAATATACAAAAACATGATACACTACAACTTCACAAACCTGATGCGATGTGCAGTAGGTTATATCCGGTGATAGTGCTCTGAAGGGGGAGTGATTTAGAGTGGAGAGCAACAAAAAAACAACTAAAACTTAAACATTAATAGTTTTTTTTTTTTTTTGGAGAATACAGCATTTTTAAAACAATAAAAGCAACATGGTGATCTAAAAATGTTAAGAGTTAGGAGTTAACACCCCCTCTTTAAAATTGTTTTCAAACTTTTTTTTCTTAATTTAAATTCTACTTGATGTAATTTATTGAAAACTAAATGTCATTGAAGTTTACGTTTGTGCCAGTACAGAGCCAGATCGCACTTTTGTCGAATGCCAAATCCCCCTTAGTTTAGTTTAGTGTTGTTTTTTTGTCCTTTTTTCCAGGTGAAATTCTTAGTTTAATTCCTGATCTAAAATTTGAAGTTGAATGAAACGATGAGAGATTCTGTCCCTGTGAGTCCGAGCTCTGCTGTAGAGACAGTGAATGAACCGGTGTATTGTATCTAATGTACATAAAGAATAAAGATTGTATTTTGTTCAAGGCTTTGTGTTGGGTTGATGTCTGTGTAAGCAGGTCCTCAGACTGAATCTCTTTACTTGGAGAATAACCAAACATCATCTAGACACTGTTGTTGTGATCAAGACCATTCTGCTCCCACCACAAACTGTTTCCTGTTTGATGGAACAGGTTTGAAACACTGGGAATTCATCCTGTTCTGGGTTCTAAGTCCAGCCAGTTGTTATCACAGACTGTTTTATAGAAATGGACATAGTTAACGCTCTAGCCTCCACGTTCCAAATGGGAAGTTCTCAGCTGCTCTTCTGGTATGGAATAAGAAAGCTTTCAGAAGCTTGTGTGTATTTTATCCATCAGAATACAAATGGAAAAGTTACAACATCAAGAGTTACAAGCACAAAAGGAAATGAAACGATTACACTTTCTTCAAGACAAATACAAATTCACAGACACGACTCGACTCAAAAATACATCATCACTTCACAGGCTTTATTTATTGAGCAGAAGAAATATCGATCGAGATGCCAGAGTTTTGCACCGCATATGGACTAAACCAGGTCTAAACCAGGTCTAAACCAGGTCTAAACCAGGACTAAACCAGGTCTAAACCAGAACTGAACCAGGATTGAACCAGGGCTAAGTGCTGGGACGGTCCATGTAGACCGTCGGGTGACCGCAGGCGAAAGGACCGACAGGGTTCTCCCCTCTCTCTTAAATCCAAGATTAGACCTGGTTTAGACCTCGTTTAGTCCTGGTTTAGACCTCGTTTAGTCCTGGTTTAGACCTGGTTTAGTCCTGGTTTAGACCTGGTTTAGCCCTGGTCCAGTCCTGGTTTAGTCCTGGTTTAGACCTGGTTTAGACCTGGTTTAGACCTCGTTTAGTCCTGGTTTAGACCTGGTTTAGTCCTGGTTTAGACCTGGTTTAGTCCTGGTTTAGACCTGGTTTAGTCCTCCTTATTTAGACCTGGTTTAGTCCTGGTTTAGTCCTGGTTTAGACCTGGTTTAGACCTCGTTTAGTCCTTGTTTAGACCTGGTTTAGTCCTGGTCCAGTTCTGGTTTAGTCCTGGTTTAGACTTGGTTTAGTCCTGGTTTAGTCCTTATTTAGTCCTGGTTTAGACCTGGTTCAGTTCTGGTTTAGACCTGGTTTAGACTTGGTTTAGTCCTGGTTTAGTCCTGGTATTTAGTCCTGGTTTAGACCTGGTTTAGACCTCGTTTAGTCCTTGTTTAGACCTGGTTTAGTCCTGGTCCAGTTCTGGTTTAGTCCTGGTTTAGACCTGGTTTAGTCCTGGTCCAGTTCTGGTTTAGACCTGGTTTAGTCCTGGTTCAGTTCTGGTTTAGACCTGGTTCAGTTCTGGTTTAGTCCTGGTTCAGTTCTGGTTTAGTCCTGGTTCAGTTCTGGTTCAGTTCTGGTTTAGTCCTGGTTCAGTTCTGGTTTAGACCTGGTTCAGTTCTGGTTTAGTCCTGGTTCAGTTCTGGTTTAGTCTGGTTCAGTTCTGGTTTAGACCTGGTTCAGTTCTGGTTCAGTTCTGGTTTAGTCCTGGTTCAGTTCTGGTTTAGACCTGGTTCAGTTCTGGTTTAGTCCTGGTTCAGTTCTGGTTTAGACCTGGTTCAGTTCTGGTTTAGTCCTGGTTCAGTTCTGGTTCAGTTCTGGTTTAGACCTGGTTCAGTTCTGGTTTAGTCCTGGTTCAGTTCTGGTTTAGACCTGGTTCAGTTCTGGTTCAGTTCTGGTTTAGTCCTGGTTCAGTTCTGGTTTAGTCCTGGTTCAGTTTGTATGCAGTGTAAAAGTCCGGCATCTCGATTGATGTTTCTTAATAAATAAATCATAAATAAAGCCTGTGAGGTATTTGATGTATTTTTAACAGTCGAGTCGCGTCTGTGAATTTGTGTTCATACTGAAAAAATGTAATTGTAAATTTTCATTTCGAGATTGTAATTCCTGATGTTGTAACTTTTCTATTTGTGTTCTGATGGATAAAATATACATATATATATTTCATATATGACTGGACTCATTTGAAAGTTTACCAATTTATTTTATGCTCAACCACAGACATATGCACAGATTCTATCCTGTGCACATGAATATTTCTGAAAGTTTTCTTACTCCATATTCCTGCTCCCACTGACTTCCATTAGGATCTTGTGTTCTGTCTCTCTGTTCCTGCTGCTGTGAGTCTCGCCATTTTGGTCTTAAAATGTTCTTAACCCACTCTACATGATATATACATTTCTTTTTTTTTACTATTTTGTCAGTCAAAATAATCCTATTCATAATCCAGAGCCAGATCATTTATGAGTGTGCGTTCATGTCCATTTCTATTATTTAGACCTAAACTTTTCTGCCACGAGTCCCACCAGACTGCACCTCATCTGAACACCATGCACACTTATGTTCTCAAACTACTGCTGGAATGAACTCTTACATAAAAAAAGGCAAACAAATTGAATCACTTGCACTTTATTATTATTTTCACCCTTAAATCATGTGATTTTAATTTAAATACAAAATCAGACATTGAGAGTTTAATTTCAGATTTAGAGAATAAAATACGCTGCATACTGCTTGATTGAAGTTCAGATTTAAACTGTCCTAAAATGAATCAAAATCAAATCTTTAATCCAAATCCAGTCTTTTCTATCAAGTCCCCAAAATGTATAACTTCAAAGTTCAGACATACTGTACATCACGAGTGCATGAGCGTTTAAGAAGGATTACATTCATGGTCAACTTTGTGACCAGGGCTCAGTCTTCATCTTTAACTATGAAGCCGCTCGTTTTTTTTCATCTGTCCATTTTTCTTTCTTCTCATCAGTTTGGCTTTGTTCTTTGTGGCTGTGTGTTGTTTGTGTCAGTAGTTTTGACTTGATCTTCTCTGTTCTGATTGTCGGCTGAGAGTCTGAGGTGGTGGACTTGAGTTTTTGGGATTTACCTTTTCTCGGGAACTCTGTGAATTCTTTCAGATAATCTTCAGATGTTTCAAATACATGTTGTGCAGTTCTGATTGATTTTCCACCCTCAGACTTTGACAGTTGCTGAACAGGAATCAGAGAGTTTCATGATTTAATCTTTGCATCTTCATGAACCTGAATGGCATCTTTGGGTTTCATTCCTTCTGAGTGAGTCATTATTGTAACAATGTGATTCTCCAGGTCTAGTCCAAAGATAGAAGTGATTGTTTGGATATTTATAGAATAACAATTCCGTGTTTATATCTCAACTGTCATCAGTAAAAGCTTCATTTGATTTAAACATGTTCATTACATATCTGGGGACATATTGGGAATAATGTACTTTTTAACATAGGCTAATCGATTATTTCCGTCCCTCTGATCCATTTGTCTTCTCATTCCCTCTAGTATTTTAGCCTTTTCAGTGTCTCCCCTCTCCTTCATCTTCTGAATAAAAAATACCAGATGACAATATGTAGACACTGAAACCTCATTATTAAAAATTACATCCAGCTTCCCAATGGCACAGAAGGCCTCGTCCAGATGCAGGTTCTTGGTTTGTTCGAGGTCTGACATTTCGTTCTCCAGATCCTCCAGCAGAGTGGTTTGTTGAGCACCAGCTGCTCTGTTCTGGTCAAACTTGCCCTTCATTTGACCAACAGTTTTAGTCACGGTTCTGGTCTCAGTCACATATTTCCACTTCTCTTTCACATGATGTTCTGCAGAACATGCTCTAGAACACACAGTGCATCTTCCATCTGTCATGACATCACACCAGGAAGCATCCCAGGCCCAAGTGCATCCTGGGTAATGGCAGGTTTCTTTACATTCAAGACAATTCACAGCCTTGGTGTCCCACCAGGTGTTGATCTTCTCTCTCACTATGTAAGTTTCTGTTGCCTGAAACTGAGTGTCTCTGTTTAGATTTCTATAATTTAACAGTGCTTCTCTGTTTTTTTCATTTGCTTTCTGCTTTTTCTCGATTGAAATAATACGCTCTTTTAGATTTAAAATATAAAGTTTTTGCTGAGTTTGAGACCTCCCATATTCGGTCTGTGAAGAGAAACAGACAGAATGTTACTTGTCAGTGTTATCATGATCAAGTTTTAAAGTGCACATGACCATTCTCAAGAATACTGTCAAGGAATTTAGCAATGACAGACAGTGTCCAGTTTCATCTATTAATTGTGAAATGAATCTGTTATTTTTAACCCAGTTGTCACAATAAAGTGTTTTATTCTTATATTTTATGTTCGTATTGTGTGTATTGTGTAAGTGAGATGTGTGCGTGAGGATAAGTTGTGATTGTACATTAGAAGGCAGCATGAAAGAGCTTGTGTGGAAATCTGAGAGATAAATACAAATATCTACTTTAAACTCACACTTGAGGAGAAATTCTAAACCACCAACCTTCTGAAAAATCAAGTTTGGAATCAAATGCCATATTATGTTTTTATTTTTAATGAAATGTTTTATCCAGTTTACTTTAAAAACTGTATTAAAGTTTAAGCCTCCTTTTCATATGAATTTAATCATTTAAATTTAACCTAAATTTTAACAAGAAACCTTAAAAGAAAGTCTTAACCATTTCTATGGGCAGCAAACATGAAATACATAGAAGTATGTTACCTAGCAACCATAATATTTACCAAAACTAAAATTACACAATAGTTATCATTTAAACAATCCCTTTAACTGATTTAAATGTCATTAGCATTTTACTCACCAGAAACAGTAAAAAATGTTGTGTCCATTTTAAACCTTAGTTAGTCATTCATTTAAGTTTACAAAGAAAGTTTCATAATATTATATATATATATATATATATATATATATATATATATATATATATATATATATATATATATTTCTTTTTTTCTTTTTTTTTTTTAATGACGTCTTGTATGACTACAATCACAATCACATGTAATATTACACTCAGCATGTCTGTGTACCCACTGACCCACACTCAGAGACCATTTAAAGGCTCAGGAAACCTTTGCAGGTGTTTTTAGATAATTTGCTGATTGAATTTGAATTTGCCATGTGACATCAGAACTTTCCAAAATTCTGTTTTT